TGTTGTGTCTCCAACAAAATTAAAATAATAATAATATATATCTTGCTGCTCAAGAAACTAAAGTCACTGTACTATATATATACGTGCTTGTCATGTCATACTAGCTATATATCGTATTCTTTTTAACATTATATAAAAATTTAAGGGCCCTTTAAAGATATGATTAGTCCAAACTATTATGTCTATATTGAAAATGTTTTCAAATATAAACCCGTAAAATTGTTTTCGTGTGAAATGAATTTTTATTTTATTATCATGAATTTCTTCCTCCGTTTTATTTTATTGGCTCATGACATGACACTAAAATATATATATATATATATATATATATATATGTTGTGATTAAATTAAGTTATACAAAATGTCCTAAAATGTCATTTAATTTAGTGACTTTAAATATGTCGAAAGTTGAAATTTATCAAAAGGTGAAAAAATAATGTATTCTTCAAACGGACAAAAAAAAAGAAAAATATGACAAACAAGTTGAAACGAAAAGTATAAGCTTTAATTTATTAAATTGTGCTTTTTTTGTCCATATTGTAAACAATTGTTAAAATTTATTTAATAGCTAATTGTTAAACCATATGACTTAGGATATTTCATACAGTGACACTTACCTATTAATTAACTGTCAAGTATTGATTGACCTGAAAGGATATATCATATGGAGAGAGATCTGATTACGTGCAATCAGATCTCGTGATTTGATATACAAAGATTACTTCGTGATTCAATCGCTTAAGGGTCATTTGAATTTATTAATGTAGTGATTATCATTGAAATAGTAATAATACAACCATTAATGTTTATACTGAGCTTTACAATTTGCTTAACTAAATCTTCATCTAAGTAGTCAGTCAGACCAAGGTTTCGCTTGGGAGCCAACAATGGTTCTTGGGTGCTGATCACGTCTAGGGTGTAGGCTCGGGGCATGACAAACATCATTAACTATCATTATTATTATTATTATTATTATATCCATGCTTTAACTTGACTCAATGAAAAAGACTCTTGGATATAGATGAGCTAGCCAGAGGGAGTGTCGACAAGAGCTTAAAAATTGTGCATTTATTCATTATTTTTATTTTCATTAGACGCAAATTAGTTCTTATAAAAAATATGCTAATTACAAATCAACGTTCAAACAGTACTATTAATAGATTAAAAAGTTCGTATATATATATATATATATATATATTATTTTTTTATTTTTTTTATTTTGAAAGAAAATAATATTTTTTTTCTTAATTTTCTAAAATAATTATAATACAAGTAAAAAGAAATTTTATTTTTAATAAATAAAAAGACTAATTAAGTAAAGTAAGATTCCCCCAGGATCTAGCATTATGTATCCCAACATGGCAACATATGTTGTCTTTCTTTTAATAGAGAAAAACACGAGGAAATAATAAGAATTGGCATCCCATTTTTATTTTTTTTGGATAGGACTATTATTACTCACTTCTTCTTCTTTTTTTGGAACGCTTGGCCATATAATTTGGGACTTAAATTTTAAGTTTTGTTTTAACATTAATGATTGTGTTTGAAATTTGTATAAAATTTCGTCAACTTCAAATCATTATTTCAAATCTCAAATTCATTATTCTTTTTTCAGTTCACCTTAGTAGTAATTGTTTTTACAGATTTATAAATATTGTAATTATAAAAAAAAACACATAAATAAAGATAAAATAATTAAAATTCATCTAAATTACTCCTTCCGTCTCAAATTATAAATGCGATAAAAAAAATTAACCGTCCAAATTAAGCAGTGTGTAGTTTCGCCGAATTGCCTTTCATTGAAATATTTGTTCATAAAATGATACAAATTAATTATTATGGAAGTTTCGAAGAATTGCTTGAGAGTGAGTAATAAAAGTCTTATAAAAAAAAAGTAATAAAAGTCTCATAAAAAAAAAAAAAAGTAATAATTGTCCTCCTTATATGTCTAAAAAAACTCGTTTTGGTGTTTTTTTTTTCTTGTTTTCTTTTCTTTTCATCTCTTCAATTCTATACAAACAGGGGGGGAAAAGAAGAAAAAATGCCAGGAAACAAAGATGTCCTTTCCTAAGAAATAAATTTTAATGACTTGTCTGTCTTTATTTCATTCTATTCAAAATAATAATTGACATTTAATCGCCAAAAAGTAATTCAAAATAATTAATGTTTCATAATATTAAAAAGGTATTACTTCTTTTATTATAACCGTGGTTATATCTTGGTTAACTTTTGCCAACGTGATATGTTATCTCTCATCAATAACAGAAATCAAGTAACCTCTCTCCATCAAAGCTAGAACAATTGAGTAGAAATCGCGTAGTACTTCACTATTATTATCTCCGCAAGGATTTGAATTTGAAACATCATAGTTCGCAATCCATTTCATTTGCACATATTCCTAGTCACGATAATAATTATGTCGATCTTAAAAGAAAGAAAATCATAATTAAATTCATGTTGGTTTTTATTTCAAAATCAATTAAACATCTATTGTTTTGAATTTGAGGGACTAAAAGAATCTGAAAAACAATCACAACAATATATTTAGTGTAACCATTAAGTGGAGAACAACACCAATAATATATTTAATATAATTTTACAAGTTAGTATGGAAAAAATAGTCTTAGTATTTACCTTGTGATATATGATAAAAAAATGTTATTTTCAATAAGTATGATCGATTCAAGTAACATAAATCAAAATTAGTAAGGAAAAAAAAAGATAATAACGTATAAAGATAAGTGTCAAAAACAAACATAAATTATCTCTTTTTTTAAGTTTCATACCTAAACTATCACTTATTAGTTTGAGAAATAAAAAATAATAATTTAGATATGAAACTCAAAAAGAGAATTATTTAAATGTGTTTTTGACATAACTATATCAAATTCAGTCATTTTCGTCTGAGATTTACATGTTGCTATTGGCCGACCATATTAAAGGCACATGTCTGACTATTTTTCAAATTTGATATATGAATAAAAGTTATATTTCGGCTTTATTTTTGTTTCGGCTATTAATTTTGTCACGATTTAAATTATTTTTTTCCTTTCTTCTATTTACGTGGCGCATTTAGATATAGATTTAATTTTTTAAATATTTTTTTCATGTTTGCTTCTCAAAACTCATTCGGTTATACATTGTGTCAAGAAAATTTAGTATCAATTTTTCACTCCAAATATCTTTTGAAAAAAATAGTTTTGAAACTTTTTCTTTACAAAATTCTATTAATTTCAAGTGAAATGTATGTTCAAACAGAACTTTAATTTCAAATATATATTTTTTTTAAAAACTTACTTCAAACTTTTTTTTTTTAAATCAATGAGAATTAGCGACATACTCATATTAGCTAAACAACAAAAATATGAACATAATCTTATTTAGCTATGAATTATAAGAATATTCAATTAATCAGACACGTTCTAACGATGAATTAATTAGAAATTACTGATAAATTTTATAGTTAATTTCATATTTTCTTATAATAAATATCGCTAAATTCATTTCCAAATGCCTACATAGTTTATAATAATAATAATAACTTGATGGCGATGGAATCAAATTAGGATGGTTATATTAAGTTCAAGCAACAGAATGATTGAACCCTTTTCCGGCAAAAAAATATAAATAAAAAAAAAACATAAATCTGACACTGACAAATATATATATATTACTATATATTAATGCATAATATCATTAATTAGTCGGTCGTTGCGTGTCCAAGTCACTTGGTCCTTGTCATTTCATTTTCCACAGTACATAAATTTTCAAATTCAATCCAAATATCGACGAGTATAACACAAATCGTATTTTTAACTAACGCAGATTTGTACTCAGTTTCGTCCAAGTTTACAAGAAAACAACAAGTGCTAACAAAAGATTTTATGAATTTTTTTTCACCTATTTGTATCTATCTAGAATACCAGGAATCATATCTAGAGTTGCTGAAAAATTGTTCAAAGAAAATATATTTAGTAAGTGAGTGGCACAGCCATAATAAATTTATTTGGAGATTTAAACTATAAACAAATAAATATTTGAAGAAGTCAAATTAGAGATTAATCATTATTATACATACTTTAAAAGTAATTTTAAAATCGTATATGCATTATAAGTTTTTAGTCAAAAGAATTCGAATGAAACTCATTCTAGTAAATTTTTTTATTTCAATATTCTCATATTTTACTACTAACGATATATAAGAGTATTTTTTTTTTACAATAATCGCGTAGCATATTCAAAACGACATAATTCATAGAGTATATCATACACACACCAAAAAAGATTGTGTGTGGTCTTAGTTTAGTTTAGGTCAGGTCTAGTCTGTTGAACAATTACAAAGAAGCTACCAAACAAAGACTTAGAAATTTTCAATAGAGAAAAAAAAAACCTCTTATTCCTTTATTATTTTGGGGAGAAGTACACTTAATACTTTTAACTAATAAAGTTTGCAATTTTCATCACATCCGAAAGCATTGATTATCACTCAATTAATAGTTATTAATCTCGTATAAAATCATTTTTTCCACTTAATTCAATTTTCTTCAATAAAAAAAGTAAATTTCTAAAATAATACTCCCTCCGTCCCATTTATGTGATACACTTCTCTTTTTAATCCGTCTCAAAAAAAAATGTCACCTTACTATAACTAGAAATAATTTAAATTTAAAATGCCTCTTTTACCCTTAATGAATTGATTTTCAACCATGCCAAATATTTAAGAATTGTTTTAGACTATAAATTTCAAAAGTCTTTTCTTTTATTTATTACACATCATATCAAATCAAACGGTGTCACATAAATTGAAACAGAGAAAATAACTGTTAGTCTAGAAATCATTTGAGAAATCAAGTCTCCTAAAAAAAATAACCGATTGAGTTGTAACACATGCAAATAAATAGAAATGAATATGATGTATTATCAGTCCCATTGAACTCAATGCAGGAACTGGAAATAATTAACAAAAATATTCAAACTTTTTAAAAAATACAAATATTAATTTATCCAAATTTCATGATTTTAGGAGCAAATCTCAGAAGCCTATCTAAAGTGCTTGGCAAAAACTTCCTAGCAAACAAGTAACACATGTTACTGGGCCGCCCATTATACTCACATTTGGTCCCATTTCTCATCCCATTAAGCAAATCTTCTGTCACTTCAGGCCTAATAAATTTTGTTGGATGAGGCCCACCTTTGGCCCAATCAACCCAAGTCAATGTTCTATTTTCATTTTTCCACCAATATTTCATTGTCACAAATGTTGGCAAATAATGTTCATCTGAGTAACATGCTGGCCTACAAAATCTCTTGAATAAATGAGAATATTTTTGATCTGATATTATATCCATGGCTATCTCTCGATCGACCTCGAACCATTGGGACCCTTTTCGCCATTGGGCTAGGGTGACCAATGGTTTCATTTTCTTGCTGTAACGACCTCGTCCCACGGGGCTTATTAAGTCGTAAGACTCCATGAAGGTGTTTGCGGAGTTGATGATGTAGTTGTAGATGGTTGTGAAGTTGTATAGAGGAATGCATGACTCTGAAAGAAGCACGAAACGCTCGTTCGATAGGTCTAATAATGCGTTCGCTAGTAATCGTCGTTCTGCTTCCACCATGTTAAATTTTCCCCATTCTACTTTCTGTAAAACGGTTTTTAAAAACACATTAAAATGTAAAGTTTATGATTTACTAAACACTTAGATCTTCCAACTAACTAGGTAGGAAAAAAAGGATTTTTGCAAAAGTAAAATTTAATGGACTCAAAAATACTTTCCTAAAAGCCCAGATACTTATCCTTCTATAGTGATTAATTGGGCCTAATCCAATATGGGCTCTGCTTCAAACATAAAGTAAGGAAGTTGAAGAATTAACCTAAATAGTTGTTCACTCGACTGCTTTAATTACATGTATACTAACTATAAAAAGTAAACTGTAAATTTGACCGACTATTTGTGTAAAAAGATTCTAAACTGTTTGTGGAGTCCAACATGCCCTTCTAGTGTTCACGTGCAAAAGATAAAGATGCCAAGGCATACAAGAAAGGAATTTGATAAAATGTAGCAACATATAGTAGAAGGAAAAAGTGTTTTTTTCTCTAAGTTGGTAAAAGGAGTAGAATAAAAGAAATCTACTACTCACTAGTTTCTTGCCCTAAAAAACTTTCATTTTCAGTCGTTAGGATCAAATATTTATCATTATGCCAAAAGCTATATAGCTGATAATAAGTAGAGGTGAATTTAGGATTTAAAACATTTATAGATATACTTAAAAAGGTTTTAAATACACTAATAATATAAGAGCAAAAATTATTAGTTTCCGTGAACCATAGATAACACTCTGGATCCATTATTAATAATATAGACCCAACTTTATTTTTTAATTAAATTTATCAAACAAACACCATATTTGGTACATCACACAGGGGTCTCTCCATAAGCATCATAATTGGCATTAATTACACAAACACACAAGTGTCGTAAAATAGTCCAATCTTACAATATTATAGCCAAAGAGTACCAGGATTCTCGGTAATTAATGCCAAAAGACGCGTTTATAAAACACCAAGACATATAAATGGTCCAAGTCAACTAATATATGGTGATCTATATTCATCAAAATCTGCTAGTATTATTACTATTTATAATATTGCATCATCAATAATATAAAATTTTATATTTGACAGATTTAGAATTTAAATTCTATGAATTCAATTTAACGCTTACATCCGCCCCTGCTCAGTTTCCGTGCTGTCTAGTAAAACACGGACCATTTGATACGGCACCAGTTGAATTTTTCTGCTCATCAACTCATATTATATATTTTTCCACTATACTAGGTTTGGGCGTAATACTTTATAAATTAACTTGTAGATCTCTATGTGACCATGAAAACAAACAAAACATTACTTTTTGTAGCTAATTTAAAAAATTGTCATTGCATATGAATCAGCTATAAGAAAAATATTTAAATTATATATACAGATAGTACAAAAAGTGTATCACTAAGTTATCAATCAATTTTGTTAGAAGTTCACGAATTAATATACATATATATTTATTTAATTTTTTTAGCATAAATATAAGATCTATGGAAAAACAACTGGATTCGTCCGAATCCATGAATCCCACGCCTAGCTCCGCCTCTGGTCTAACGGAAGGTTAATTGTCATTTTTTTCATCACATTACAATTAATACTTCTCATATTTTAGTTCAAGTTCAAGCAAAAATAACAATAGTTTTCTCATCTGTTAAAGCTTTGATAGACAAAGTTATAGAATAATTTGGCCTAAACACCACAATTATATATCAAAATACTTACGGTTAAATATTGAGTTTAGGCAAATGAAGACGTTGAGTACTTAAGAGAGTGCATGGTAAATCCCATATCCGATAAAAATGCTATCTATACCAATAAACAAACCTTATACCCTAATAATGTGTCGTAACGACCTAGATTCGAAGCAGACAATATCAAATATCAAAAGCAAATTATAATTAATTAATCAATAGTGATAGTAAATTAAACTTACCTTACTTGCTACTCTTCTTCCATGAAAAATAGGTCCTTCTTGTGGAGCAGTTCCATTAAAAGATGGTTGAGAATGAATATAAATAGAATAAAGACCTTCATGTCCTTGGAAAAATCTTTCCCATAATGGAGCCAATGGTAAACTTCCTCTTGCAAGAAACATAAAAGCAATCTTTGGCTTTCTCTTAAATGGCAAATCACTAACACGTGGCACCATCATAGCCCTCGATATCAACTCTTCATCTTTCATATCATGTTTAGGAGTACTTAATTTTGGTATCTTCATAAAATCTTTTAACCCTATTCTACTAGGGTCTAAAATTTTGTTCTCATTATTTAAAACAAGAGGAATTTGTTGTTGAGGTTGTGAAAGTGATGGTGGGGGTGGTGGGGGTGGAGGTGAGGTTAATTGGATTATTTGGGGGAAAAATAATTTGTTTTGTAAAGTGTTGGGAATTAGATCTTGGAGATAAAAAAATAGTGTTATACCAATTACTAAACCAGACCCAAATAAAATAAAATAGGACACAAGATTATGGAGGTACCTTTGAGAAATACTGAATAGTTTTGTAGTAGTGAATTGATATTGTTGTTCATTCTTCATTTTCTTGAAACTCTATGGAAAAAAATACTACTACAACAACACTGCAATTCCACGAGTGGAGTCTCAGGAAGATAAGATATACGCGAAATCGCAAACCTTGTTTTTTACCTTTGTAGGATAGAGAGATTGTTTCTCGTATGTTGCGGAAAATTGTGGGTTGGGTTATCCAGCACACAATCACACACAAAGCGAAGAGAGAAGAAATAACACAAGGATGAATAAATGGACAACTACAACTCTTGTATATAGATTTCGAATAGTTAGTCTCCAAACTTATAAGAGAGATTTTTCCTATTCTACTAGATTTTCTTTCCAAAATTTATTAGGACAATAGATTTTCTAAATCAATAGAAATTATGAGTTTTCTAAAAATATATAAAAGATAAACAAATTCAAGACATAATTAACAAGATAGACCCTAACTCGAAAGAAAAGAATTCGAAAAAATAGTAGGAAAGGGAAGAAGAAATGGAGCAGAGCAAATGAGGAGGAGGAAGAAGAGGAGGAAATATATATAGTTGAGATGGAAGCAAAAAAATTAACTACATGCTTTTTCACTAGAATTAGACACAAGACATATTCTAATTAATTATTATTTTAACTAATTTGTTTTATATCTCCAAGACATTCATGTAAGGATTTCAATAATATGTAAACAATAATTGTATTTAATATTTACTTTGATTTACCTCTCCTATTTATCTTTTTCGTACTACAATAATCTGAACGCGTTAATATCAAATACAATTATTTGTAAAAGATAGGTTCTTATAGAAAAGAATTTTACTAATCTGGATTAATATTAATTACATGAATTATTATAATGTGGAAAAAGATAGAAGAGGAAACGTGATGATCTAATCATTGTTGAAAAAATGTGAAAGAGGAAGAAGGAATTGAGTAATTGTGAAAATTACCAGAGAGAGAATATTCTTGGAGTTGATGTTGAGACATGTTGAGGGAATATTTATTTATTCAACACATTTAAGAAAAAAATGATTAGTTTTTACAGCTATAATTTACAAGTTTTTTTTGTGTTTTTTTTTTTTTAGAAGAAAGATGGAGGAAGAAGAAGAATTTGTGTTATGCCAAGTGGATCCCAATTAATCCAAAATATTCCCATGACTTCCGGAAGACAACCTTAGGCATTGGCAACTCCACGTACCCGTCTCTCATTTCTATTTTGGTTTTTTTTTTTTTTACCTTCGTAACGAATAACTTTTCCGTGAGACATGAGTTTATAATATAGTAACATAACATTTCACAAGTTATTTTCGAGAATGACTTTAATAAATTACATGAACCCATAATTTTTAATAATTTAAAGGTTGAACTCGTCAACTGAAATTCTAGATTTACCTCTGCTAAAGCCATTCTGGTCTTTTAGTTGACAAGGATTAGAGAAAATCAAAGAGATATTTTTTTTTAGCTTATTAAATTGAGATACATTAGTTTCCATTATAACAGAACTTATTCTTTGGGAATTGAGATGAATGTTGAAAAAAGTGGAAGTTAATTCCGTAACGGTAAGGTAGATATAAGAAATATAATAGAATACACGTTTTACCTTAATTTGATGTGTGTTATTATCAATAAATATTTTATGATTTCCTAAAATGAATGTATGGTCAAACATCAGCCATGATTTGTGGCATTTCTTATGGCTCCCTCCTTTTCCTCTTGACGTATCTAATGTGGTACTATTTGATTTTTCACTTCGTTGCTTTTCTTCCAAGCAAATAGTACAGCAACAAGACAGAGAAATCACATACGCATTGCAGACCTTACCCCTACCTCATAAGATAGAGAAGTTGTTTCCAATAGACCCTCGGCTCAAGTAAAGCATCCAAAGACAGTTTGAAAAAAGAGAATACAGAAATGAAAGCAGTAACAACAATGAAAGTTTCGTCCACTGTATACCTCTCATGTATATCAAGCTCTTTATCTGCTGATCATGCAGTGAGCCTTTGAATCTAGAGTTTTCTGAGATTCACATCTCCTCCACACAGTCTCTTATGACAGTTGAAACCAATAACAGAAACAATTTTTTTATAAGAAAAACAGAACAGAATATATACTAGGCAGGCAACATTGGAGGAAAAAGGGAGGGGGGGGGGGGGGGGGGGGTTTTCCTGCTCTGAACTTC